ATATATATATATATATATATATATATATGTTTTATTTTTAATGCACATAAAAGTATTTTGTTGACTTTAATTATGATTGTATTAATTATTTGAATTTGATTTGCATTCATTGGTCAGTATTAAAAGATTTACATTAATGGTATCTTGTCTCATTATATAACATGTTTAATGTTAAATTAAACAATGGGACAATACGTATTGAAAAAGTGTAATTTTTTTTTTACATTAATAGTATACCAACTTAAACTCTAATTATTCCATTACAATATAAAAATTTCATATATAGCAGTAGTTAAGAACCTTTTCTAAATATCAAAACTCGTAATGATCAAAAAAATATCAGAACTCATAATTAATCATAAAACTAGTTGGTGCGTGGTAGTTATAGAGTTAATGAGTTTAGTGCTCTTCAAGTTAATGACATCCACAAAAGAGGGGGAAAAAATCACTCATAATTCTTTAGTGAAACGTGTGGTTTGAAGTTCTTTTTAGCAAGATTGCACTTCAGTTATATATTTATATGAAATATCTTTCCTATTAACTATGTGTTATAGTTGGAATATATTTAGAAACCAAATTAGCACACACGTACTTATTGGTGTTAGTAAATGTCAACTCTATGAAAAGTGAAACTGATTTTTAATCCTTTGCTTGTGTTTGGATATTAATGAGAATTGATTTTAGCCACACAAATTTATGTGCAAAAGTAGAAGTAATTATTTGTTGTTTCAACTTTACTGTAAAATTGATTGATTAATCTCTCTCAAACTGTTTTAAACACAATTTAATATAACTTAATTCTTCTGTACCAATGTATTTTAATAACTTAATTTTCCCAAGTTTTCACATTCTAAAACAATTATAGAGCATGGGGTACCATTTATGATTGACTCGCGACTAGTCAGTCTTGCATGAATTATCAATTCGAACCTAATTCATTAATTATGTACCCTACACTTCTATGATGGCATGCCCAAATTACTATTGGAAAAAACCCAAGTCCCACATCAACTAGAGATTAGGTAATTAAATACTATAAAAGGGGAAACCACCCCCCCCCATAAAAGCCAGTTTTGTAGGGTTGAGTTAGGCTTATTCCACTAGGCTAACATGGTATCAGAGCCATTTAGATCCACTTTAAAAATGGGTCACCCACCATTCATTGATACATGCACCATGGGCATGAGGGGGTGTATTTCAAGTCCCGTCAATTAAAAAAGGGCTACCTACCATTCATTGCTACATGCACCATGGACATGAGGGGGTGTATTCAAGTCCCGCCAATCCTAGATCATTAAAAAGGGCCACCTACCATTTATCCACGTACAAAGCCCAATAGTGCTGGACGTGAGGGGGGCGTATTGGGAAAAACCCAAGTCCCACATCAACTAGAGATTAGGCAATTAAATAGTATATAAGTGGAGAGCAACCCTCACCTTACAAGCCGGTTTTGTAGGGTTGAGTTAGGCTTAATCCACTATTCTAAGACCCTTAAAACAATACTAGTTAGCCAATCGCAGCCCTTGATGGCAATTTAGATTTTTTTGTACAAATATTTTTATAAGAAAATTACTACGAATATCTCATAAAACATAATTAACAATGATCAAATTAATTGTACTTCTTCTCTCTCATATTTTTATAATTTTGCGAGTTTTATTATCTAATTTTTGAAATAGTACACTATGCAATTTAACCTTTAAATTTTTGCACATTTTGTTATTTGATTAGTTGACTGTATGACATAATTAATTGACTGTTAATATAACACATTGATCACCAATATAACATTGATTGTTGATGTAACATATGAATATTTACATAGTATAATGTGTGATGTGAATGATTTATATATATGATATTAGTCATTAACATGTTATCTTAACTTTTATGGTATTCAATAGCTAACTTATAAAAACAAATGATATTTAATACAAGAAATGTTACATATAATGACATACAAAAAAATATTACTATAGGTATAATATATGTAGATATATATTTATTAATTAACATATAATTACATACAATTTTAATGTTGATTTTAAATGAGATTTAACAACATATTTTGTGTGTTATTATAACCTATACTCACACTTTTTAACAATATACCAACATATATATTATATTTATTGTGTAGGTAAAAATAACTTTTAGTAACACGTATTCTGTCACTATAAGATATGTGTCGCTATATGACAATTTTTTTGTAGTGATTGGAGTGACAAAACGTGTCAAAATTTAAAAAATTAAGCAAAAAAAAATGTGCAATTAATTTATTATTTTTTTGTCTTTTCTTAAGAAGCACATTCGTGCCATTTAATGTAATTTGGTTGGAAAATCATGTCTATCACAATGACATATCGAACTTATTTGAAAGAATTAATGGTATAACCAAATCACATGAGCGAAGCATAATGAAGCAAAAGAAAGATGGTAAAACACTTGCACTTGTAAATGCAATTACCTGCCATCTCCATCCCACAGTTGTCTCGGATACATTGGTTGGGCCATTAACTTTGCATGTGGTGTTTCCCCTGTAAGCCACCACTCCTGCAAATATCTTACTTAAGATATCACTTCCATCAGATGCTCCATCAATGCCACCACAAATCACACTAACTGGATATTTTGGAGGCTGATTATATTGAGCAGCATAACTATACATCGACCTCAGGTAGTTCATCAATTCAGAAGGCTGCTTTAATGTACTGCAAAATATCACACTCTCAGTAAATGAAATTTAAAAGCAAAATATGCACTTTTATTAATGTAATATTTATTATAAAAGTAATGATGTTTTAGCTATACCTTCTTACAACATTTTTTTTATAAAAAAAATGAGAAATAGAGAAAAAAAGAAAAGGGTAGAATATATAAAATGAGTCACTTGACAAACAGCACCCTAAAAATGTACCAACAAATTATCCACTAATAAATTCTTCATATTAATTATGGAATCGAAGTCACATCCTTAAGTGAATCCACTCCTTACCTCCTGAAGCAACTCTTGTCAATTATACTATATAGATTGAGTAAGAATACAATTACTCTTATTAGTTATAAGGTAAAATTTCCCTAAAAATCACTAAAATTTAGTGAGTAAAACTCTCATATCAAGAGTGCTACTATGGCATGTGTCATTTAGTGATGAGCGGTGCATTGTAACCCACATTATGTATTAGTTAACCAATTACAGTTCATCTTTACTACAATTTCTAATTTATTTATTTAAAAATCAACAAATCTATCATTATAGTAGTTTTTATTAGACGGTGATGTAAAATCATTATATACTATAAATGTATAGTCTTTTCTGTGTAAAATGTGTTAGAAAATAACATGTGAATAGGGATTATATAGAACATTTCTTTACAAACAAATTAAAGGTTGAGGTTAAAAATATATAGTGTATGTACTGGCAAGTGTTGAATCTCTGGCTGAGAGTTACAAGGCCATTTGGTTGAGAAGCTACTCTGCGGATTTCAGACCATGACTTTCGTATAGTTTCATAACATGTTTCACTGGCTTCCTGCACACCACTTCATCAAATTAGCTACTTTATACATTTCATGAAAAGTAAATAAATAAAAGAAGAAGAAAAAAACAAACTATGGTAAATTACTCTATAATCCCTGCTAACAACTGAGTAATAACCATATGGTGGCGTGATTTTATCAAAGTAGAGTATTGGTGCTGACGAGGCCAAGGCACCAATTGCCAAGTGGGGATATTTGAGCCTAAACCATGAAGCAAGCACTGCATAAAACAAACAAACATATATATTTCCACAACAATAAATTAATATAGCCATAACCAAGGTGAAAAGTAGAACACTACGAGCCAATTATTTTATTTTATTTTTTATCTCTAGAAAAATTTATTCAAACAAACTCTATATATGAAAGAATTCAATGAAGGGTAACTAATTTGAGGAACTAACTTCCACCATATGATCCTCCAATTACGATCACCGGGGAATTTTTGGCGTGCAATGTCTTCTTCACATGTTTGAGTATTGCTGCATAATCTGCTAAGGCTTGAGCTGAGTTGAAATACCCTATAGTGCTTGCATTCTTCAATGCTTCATCCCTTGATCCAAATGGTATTGATTTCCCATAATAACGGTGCTAATGATAAAATAGAGAGTCACTAGAGAGTCCAATTGTAGATTATGATCACTCATTAGAGCCAATAAAATGAAGAGAAAGATAAACAAGTTATAGATGTTAATTTAATTGAAATATATATATACCTCTATGTATACCAAGAGGGCACTAAATGAAGCAGCGTTATCAATTAAAGTTCCTATACTCTTAGGGGAGTTATCTATTGATGCTTCAGCACCAAAGTAGACAAATATGGGGGCACTAGAATTGGCACCACCCCAGTACTTGAAATTGATGAGATATCTTTGTGGAAATGTTGTGTAGCTTTCTGGCCTATAGTTGAAGTGATCAAGAATCTGTTTGAAGTAAAATGTTTTGACTTCCTCACCAGCATCATCACTTGCAACTCTTGGATCGTGTAGTGTTGGTTCCCATTCAGGATTTGGACTCAACCTTGGAATTGTTAACGAGTGTGCCGCAGTGTGGTGAGTTGAGTATGTGAGAAAAATCAAAAACAGAAGACGTTTGTATGATGAGGGGTGTTTCATTGCAGCAAATTGTAGGAGAAAGAATGGCTTTGAAGTAGGTTTCTTTTTCGTTCAAAGATGTAAATCAACATGTTCTTATATATCTATCTCTAGCGCTGAACGTGACCCTCTCAGCATTAATGTGTTTCAAATTCAATTTCAATCATATATGTTGCGTACCGTCTTAAACAAGATAAAATATACTTTACAAATATGAATTTTTAGTTTTCTTTATGAGCAAAAGGTACTTTAGAAATAATAATTTACGAATGATCGAGAGATACTCTAGAAATAAATTTTTAGTTTTTTTCTTTAGTAGAGATTTGGTTCGTGTAGATTGATGGAATTATTTTATGGTATTTGTTTGAGGAGATATTTGAGAGTTATTTTTATAAGGTTATTAAGCACACAACTCCATAATGATGAGATATTGTTCGCTTTGAACCTAAGCCCATCGCGATTTTACTTTTAGTCATCACCCAAAAGGTCTCCCTGACATTAAAGTATGTGTATGTTTTATAAGTTGTTATTTTTTCTCTTATTTTATTATTTTATTGATGTAAGACTTTTTTGTATTTTAACATAAATAAATTCATATCTTTTAACAAATGATTAAGAGCACTCGCAGTGAGGGCATTAAGCTCAGGTCTTCTGTATACGTACTGCTCCTTGTTTGCATTCTATTGTCGGAGTGAGTTGCTAATTAAGATCATTTGTTTATACAAGCAACGGTCTTTATAGCTGCAAAGTGGGTCCAATTTTTTTTTATTTTTTTTTATAATTAAATTAATAAATAGATTATCGATGGAATATAAGGATGTAGAGTTATTGGTGAAACCTATTTAGTAACTTTGGTAGAGATGTTAAGGTGAAGGGATTGAATACTTTCAGAAATTCTTAAATAAAAAATAACTGAATTGAGTGATGTGTGTAAATGATGTCCATTTAAGTATTTTAGATACCAACTTGTAGATATTTTAAAATTTGAATCACAAGACTTGTGTACGAAGAAATTAAGTTATTTGAAAGGAAACAATCTACTATTGTATTTTTAAATTTTTTCAAAAGAATTAGTCTCGTTGAATGAGAATAAATACTCCTTACAGTCATGTATTCTAGATGCCGATCTAACTTACATTTGACCTATTCCTTTCGAAGATATAACTATAATATTCAATTTTACCTAAAACAAGTCTTAAATAAAATCCAACTAGGGAATTTGCACTAAATGCAAAACAATTGGCACACATAAAATGATAACAATAACTCCATGACATAACTACTGTAACAAACATTATCACCAATGGTTAAATATAAAAGTACGTATTTGTTCTCATTTTTGATATATATATATATATA